GTCTGCATTATTTTCGCTATTGTATGTCATTGTGTTAACTCACCCCCTCCCGGTTTTTTTTTTTTTTTTTTTGCGTTTCCTCTGTTTAGATTGTGCCCCCTCCCCCTAACTATGTGTAGAAGTACCTGCTGTAATCTGGTAATCTGGTAATCCTAGTTTCAGCATCATAGCAAACGGGTCACCCCATTGTTGCTCCGCTCCTGTGCCAACGAAAAACACTCGTAGCTCACAGTGTCACACCATGCACTCAACTCAGAAGCTGGGTGACGAAACTATATCCTTCCAGTCTACAAATGGAGCAAAAATGCAACGGCCACCGCCTGGCAGAACTGCCACGGCTTAAAAAAAAAAAAAAAAGTGGTCGTGCCTAGTGTCCACTGTGACTTGAAGCATTATGTGAGGGGTTAACAAATGGTCACCCCAGCAGTACCCTCACTATTAGCTGGGAAAGGGACTTAGGACATTACATCCACCAGCAGGCGTCGCCCCTACAACGACCTGACTGCCTTCGTTAACGACTGTTCACCCAACAGCCATGCAGTTCTTTGGCACGAAGGAGACACCTTGAACTTGGGTTTCGGAATGCCGACTTCCTACAAAATGTTATTTTGTGTTTTGTTATCACAATCGACGTCACTGCACATTGGGCATACCCATGCGTGCGCAGTCCTCCGAAGCAGCAGCCACTCCAAAGTACTTCTACTAATTGTCCCCATGAGAAGCTGGTTATATTGTCTCCTTTCTCGGCCTCGCAGACGGCAAAGACGTGCTTCACCATGCTTAACTCCCATGTCACGCAATCGTGTTAGTGTCAGGGATTCGATATTATCCACTAGCCCAGTACGTACAGCGTTAACGATATCTGCTCTGTCCATGCTTTTCCCCGCAATCATTAGTGCTGTGCTTGCCAGTTGGTCCGCTCGCTCATTTCCCTTTACGCCCGCATAACCCGGTGTGTAGATCCAGGTTACGGAAGTTAAGTGCGATTTCCGAATGCTTTCTATCCATTCAGAGCGCATACTGCCTGTTGCTATTTTCTGAAGCATATTCATTGAGTCTGAGACAATTACTGCTTGTGTGGTGGTTTGCTCGGATACCCATGCTAAAGCTCTAGAAGCAGCGGCTATTTCCATGGTCATGCTTGACGTGGTTGTCTGGTAAGCGCCGCTGTCCTCATGTATTGTTTTCCCCCTTCTTTGCGCTGTGTATGCCCATGCTGACCTTGATCCGCGCTTCACGGACCCATCTGTGTAGATGATGATATCTTCTGGGTCTGAATGCTGATCTATCAGTTCCCTTACTTCTGTGTCTATGGCCGCAGGAATCTGATCCCGACAGTACCTTCCTAGTGTGATGACAACCTTAGAGATGCCATGCATGTCTACTGGTGTATTCGTCCATTCTTTTCCGTGCCTGATAACGCGTAGGTCACATACCTGCTGGATCAAATTCTCAGCCTTTGCCATCCAAGAGCAGCCTCTTTTGAGACGCGTTCCTTTGTGTCGTATATAGCTTTGTACCTGCTGTGTTGCTTGTTTTATTTTATGTACACCAGAAGTCTGGAAGCCCTAGCATTACAATTGCATTGGCCACTTCGGCGAAATGTTACACCCAAAACAAACTGTGCAATGTATTTATTACAATGAATCTTTGGAACCATCAAAGATGCAAACAGCAGGGAATGGAGAGTCAGAAGCAGCAACGAAATTCATAATCTGTTTAAATCACCATTGATCACTCTCATCATGAGAGCTAATAGACTCAAATGGCTTGGGCGTATTCAGAGAATGTCAAATGACAGAGAGGTAAAAACTGTAAATACAAGGGAGATAAATGGTCATAGACCACGAGGCAGACCAAGAAGAATATGGAGAGATAACGCTGAGCCAGACCTGCAAACACTTGGTGTCACCAGCTGAAAAGAGAAGGCCAACCAGAGAGATGAGTGGAGGCGGGTGGTATCTGCAGCAATGAACCTCAAGGGCTCGAAACGCTGAATAAGAAGAATAATATATTTATTGTTTTGTATCTATGGCTAAGTCACTGCGAACGGGCTTCATAATTCTTTGATGCCTGGTTCATTTCTACAGCAGAAAGCGGTCCGTTAATTTTGACAGTGGTGTGGAGAGGCACCGTAAGAAAGCAATGGTGAACTGGTTTGTTGCGTATCCTTTACAGGACGTTGCAGAACCAACCCTAACAGCCCCTGGCTTTTTTGATACCATTGTCGAAACCAACGGAAGGCGCACGGTCTGCAGCTGGGATCGAACCTGGCATCCCGGCATTACGAAAATGGTGAACTACTAAACGTAAATTTGCATAGTAAAAAACTTCCATTAAAGCAGAAGTCTCTAGCCTAGGCGAAAAAAAAGAGAGTGGGGCAGGTGGAGGGGTGAGGTGGTGTTAGAAAAAAAAGGGAGCGGGTGGTAAGTCAGCAGTTTCAGAACTGAGTTTTTTTTTTTTTTTTGTAATTTTAATCATCCTGGTTTTCAGCTCTGGTGGTCATGAAAACTGGTGGTCATGAAAACTGGAGATCATGAAAACTGGAGATCACAAATGAGACTACAAATAGCAGAAGTCGGCAAGACAAAACAGTGTCAACCATCACTTTTCAACCAGTGTCAACCGTGCTAATTTTTCACTAAATTTCCAGTCGTTGGTGATTGCTTCTTGTGTTGTTTGACACTTTGAATCTGTGCGTGTTTTAATCCACGTTCTTGTTAACAGTAATTAGGATTTTTTTCTCCTTTTTTAAACCGTATTTTGTCATTTTGAGAAGAAAGGGGGGGGGGGGGGGGGGGGGTGTCGCCATATACTCTAGAGGACGCCACCTGAAAAAGGTTGGAGATCTCTGTTGTAGAAGATACGCAACAGATATTTTAATTAGTTGCGTATTCTTTACAGGACGTTGCAGAACCAAACCCAGCACTTTCAGGCTGTTGTAGTTTTTCTAGACTAATTTACGTTCAATAGTTTGCCATTGCCACTGGACGGTCGGCTCTCGGTACCACGGTCGAAACCACCGCAAGACAAATCGCCCGCAGCAGGGATCGAACCCGGCACCCCGACATTACGAAGCACGTTCGCAACGCCTAAGCCACAGACGCCGACAACTTGATATTGCTGGTGTAATAACGTAAGAAATAAGTGTGCAAGAAATATGTCTGGATGTTTCACCTCCGCCCCCATGCGGGCAGCTACTTCAAGGTTTGACAACTCCTGTAACTTCAATAGTCGCCTCCTGGATAATTAAACCAGAGGCCCAAGTCCTAAATACCACACTCAACCTCCAGAAAAGTTATAAGGCATCATCAGTAACGTCTACAACAAGTGATCTCTCTGTGAACCCCAGGGCATGCCATAACAAGAAATTATTGGGAGTCTCAGCCCCTGAGAATAAAAGGCGGGTGAGGGATAGGAGGGGGGGGGGCGGTTAAAAAGGGTATAAATCTTGTTTATTGATTATGTGGTAATTATATATATACAGCAGACTGCCTTGCTTTAGTTTCGACAATGTTATCGAGAGCCAATTGTTAGAAAGCAAAGGCAAACTACTAAGGGGAAATTTGATAGAAAAACCACAAACAGCCCCCACCCCTTATTCTCACCACCCCACTTCTGGGTTTGATTCTATAACGTCCTGTAATAACACCTATCTATTGTTTAATATGTTCTATTGTTCTTCTGCTCTTGTTCTTCCCACTCTTGTTCTTCCTGCTCTTGTTCTTCCCTCTCTTGTTCTTCCTGCTCTTGTTCTTCCTGCTCTTGTTCTTCTGCTCTTGTTCTTCCCACTCTTGTTCTTCCTGCTCATGTTCTTCCTGCTCTTGTTCTTCCTGCTCTTGTTCTTCCCTCTCTTGTTCTTCCTGCTCTTGTTCTTCTTGCTCTTGGTCTTCCTGCTCTTGTTCTTCCTGCTCTTGTTCTTCCTGCTCTTGTTCTCCCTGCTCTTGTTCTCCCTGCTCTTGTTCTTCCTGCTCTTGTTCTCCCTGCTCTTGTTCTCCCTGCTCTTGTTCTTCCCCTTCTTCTTCTTTCAGTTGTTAATGTTCTCGTTGGGGCTGTCTTTCTAGCAGTCCTTAAGTTACAGAAGATGATAGCCAGTGTGGACTGAGTATCAGTTTGTTTAAATGAAATCCCTTGTTAGCCAAGTGTGCTGGCCAGTGAGATATCACTTCTCTTATGTATACATAAAAACTTTTTTGAACAGTTAATTAACTTTGTGTCATTGATTATAATGAATTACATTGTCAGTGTAATATTTTCTTCTCGCTTCAGGTTTTACGAACTCATTCGTCTTGGTGAACTGAATCTTAGACATTGTCAATGTTTTCGTCTCTGACCGGAAGCAGTACCATCCTCTTGACAACGTTGAAAGAGCAGGCTAATTTATAAGTACATTGGAACCCTTCCTACCAACCTATTGTGGATTTTGCGGAGTCGTTAGATCACTGGATTCCAGTACCACCCACTTCTCAGCTAGAACACTGGATGCTAGCACCAGTCACCTCTTCGCTGGAGTATTGAATGCGGGTACTACTCAGTTCTTCAAAGAATGACTATGTCATGAAACATGACGTTTTATTCTTCGCATTCTACGCCAGAAGTTGAACCTTGCAGCAAGGCAGATAACCCAAACCCATATTTCCTAAACCCAACGGCAGATAATTACCTTAGCGTACTTAGGACACAGCTCAACAAAATATTTGGGTTCATATACAAGAAATTCAAAAAGTGTAAACATTCACGCCTATCTAGGCTTTCCCTCGGAGTAAATTTCCAGAAAAAATGCTGTTATTATTGTATAATTGATCACTGTGTGGTAACATGTGACTGCAGAAAAGAAGCAATTACCAGCCTGCTGAAGTCGTATTTACTGATAATTTACTTGATAGGAAGCTGGTTACTTCCAAGACTTAACCCGGATCTTCATTTTCGGCTACTTGACCTTTCCTGCACCTCATGGTTGTCTCAGAAAAATCCCGTGACCTTCCAGAGCCTGTGCGAAAATGAGCACCCCGATTTCAGAGACTCAATCAGATAAAGTGCCCTTAACACGACCTCGCCCAGGTGGAACGCCTAATCTGAAGGCTAGGGTCAAACGGCAGGCTACCTCCAGTTACCTAGGCTCGGCGGCAGCAGGTTATGAGAGCACCCCACGCAGGTTCCCCAGTGATGGCGATATCATTGAAGATGGCAGCGACGAAAGGATCCTTCTCAACGTGGGCGGTGTTCGACATGAAACGCATGTCTCCACTCTCAAGGCCCATCCCCGGTCCAGGCTGTCCCGATTGGCCGAGGTCCACTTGGATAATGGAGGCGGTAGACAAGAGTACTTCTTTGACAGGCACCCGGCGGTATTCAATTCCATTATCGATTTCTACAGAACAGGTGAGTACCATGCTGTCTTTTAATTTGTTCCTTGTCATCACGTAGCAGGTCCTCTGGTAATCTGGTAATCTTAGTTTCAGCTTCAAAGCAAACGGGTCACCCCATAGTTGTTCCGCTTCTGTGCCAACAAAAAACACAGAATTTTCATCAATGTACACTGTGAAAAAATTGAAACAGACTGCAATCTCAACATAACCACTGGATACACACGCATTAAAAGCATAAGGTAGCCAGCCATTAGTAGTGCTAATACAAACAGTCCGACATTAGAAACGCAGTTCATCGTCAACGGAAGCAGCAGTTATCGATTAGCAGTTGCACACACTTTCAAGGTCCTTTGCAGAAAGTCATTCTCATCACGGTCTGCCTGAAATAAGCTCGATCTCTCGCCATCTGTCTTGCCTCGTGTACTTTCCTGTCCACAATGTCGCTTATATCCTGTAACCATCTTTATGTTGGTTAACCCCCCCCCCCTTCCCTCTTCCCATATTGGCACCCCTGGATAGGGCAGGAAACAAAGTATCACAAGGTAGTAGCAGCAGTAGTGGTAGTGGTAATGGTGGTGTTGGTAATAGCGGTAGAAGTGGTATCCGTTGCTTTTAGTAGAGCAGCAGTCACAGTTGAATCAGGAATAATCAGAAAACACAGCTATTGATGAAACTGGCAAAGATATTTCTGCTGGCTGGACAAGAATTCGACTACTGCCCGTTGATATACGGCCGGCTTCTTGGGAAGCACAAATCCGGCATCTGTCTTGTCATGTCTATCCACCGGGGACTGTAAACAACACCTGCGATTATCTACTGGTTTTCCCCGCCTTAAAGCATCGTCGGGAGTTTCACAGCCCCCCCCCCCACCCCCCTTTGAGCTTGGCATGTTTTTCTGGACATCAATCATTTAAGAGCCATAGACAATCTCTGATTAAAGTTGCTGACACAAAGAAAACATGTGGGGGGTGGGGGAGGTTGGGTTGTGGGGGGGGGGGCTAAGTTAGATTACAAATACTGGAAAGGTAGAAAGAGCGGATAGCGGGGGGGGGGGGGGGGTGGGGGGGGGGCGCGGCTCGCTTAAATGGGATCAGCCTTGTTTGCGTGCTTAATTATATTGATTTCAGGTTTGGCAAAAAATAAATACAATAAAAAAACTTATATAGAAGTTTCCCCCGTATGAGTTCTGCGGCCATTTGTCGGCAAAACAAGAATATACCCCCCCCCCCCTTTTTTTTTTGCCCCCCAAACAATCATATTGTAGGAGTCGACTAATTGGGGTGGCGGTGGGGGGCGGGGGGGGGGCACTTTATTAGAAGTGGTGTGCATCTGCTGCAGAGGGAGGGAGCCAAGTGTACAAATAAGATAGGCCTGTTAAACGGATGTTCACGCAACACTAAGGCTTAGGAAAAAGACTTGAGCCCGGAGGTGGACGAACAACAATATCTTTCTGCCGAAGTTTATAGCCGATGAACTCAAAACAAAAAAGAAGAAGAATTTTAAAATTTTTAAGTTTTTAACAAATACCTATAAAAAGAACAGATACATGGTTGGGGGTGGGGGGTAAAGGGGAGGGGACGCATTTTTTTCAATAGACTTGATCTCCCAGGTTAGAAAACCTACGTCTCTGATATTATGACAGTTGCAGTGGCTAAGTGGCTATTGTCTTTCTCGGTCGGTTATTCTCTTTATAACTCGGTTATAACTCTTTTTGACTAGATTGTTAATTTAATTCATATTTTCATATTTACTTTTTTGGACCTATGACTACTTAAGTCAGAGCTTTTGGCACACACACACACACACACACACACACACACATACACACACAGAGAGAGAGAGAGAGAGAGAGAGAGAGAAAGAGAGAGAGAGAGAGAGAGAGAGAGAGAGAGAGAGAGAGAGAGAGAGAGAGAGAGAGAGAGAGAGAGAGAGAGAGAGAGTTGGTACTGAAAAACAAGTTAAATGGATGGCAAAGCAGTTAGAGTTTTCATCCATGTTTTTACTTTCGACAGTAAAACACACTAACAAACAGCTTTGGTGTGATCAACGAATGAATTTTTTGGTTTAATTTTCAGTTTTTTAAATGACGTTTTCCCTAAATGTGCTTTCCGAGTCTTCTTTATGAAATCCACTGTCCAAACTGTAATTTCTAAAATCTGCTCTCGGAAGTCCACCTTCTGAAGTCAACCTTCTAAAGTCAACCTTCTGAAGTCAACCTTCTAAAGTCTGCCTTCTAAAGTCTACCTTCTGAAGTCTACCTTCTGAAGTCTGCCTTCTGAAGTCTACCTTCTGAAGTCTAGCTTCTGAAGTCTACCTTCTGAAGTCTACCTTCTGACGTTTACCTTTTGAAGTCAACCTTCTGATGTCTACCTTCTGATGTCAACCTTCTGAAATCTACCTTCTGAAGTCAACCTTCTGAAGTCAACCTTCTGAAGTCTACCTTCTGAAGTCAACCTTCTGAAGTCTACCTTCTGAAGTCTACCTTCTGAAGTCTACCTTCTGAAGTCTACCTTCTGAAGTCAGCCTTCTGAAGTCAACCTTCTGAAGTCTACCTTCTGGTCTACCTTCTGAAGTCAACCTTCTGAAATCTACCTTCTGCAGTCAACCTTCTGAAGTCAACCTTCTGAAGTCTACCTTCTGAAGTCAACCTTCTGAAGTCAACCTTCTGAAGTCTACCTTCTGAAGTCTACCTTCTGAAGTCAGCCTTCTGAAGTCAACCTTCTGAAGTCTACCTTCTGAAGTCAACCTTCTGAAGTCTACCTTCTGAAGTCTACCTTCTGAAGTCAACCTTCTGATCAACCTTTTAAAGTCTACCTTCTGAAGTCAACCTTTTAAAGTCAACCTTCTGAAGTCTACCTTCTGAAGTCTACCTTCTGAAATCTACCTTCTGAAGTCTACCTTCTGAAGTCTACCTTCTGAAGTCTGCCTTCTGAAATCTACTTGCCAAAATTTGTTCTGTTACATCGAGCAATTCCGAACACTAGGAGGCTCTAATCTGAGTTTGCTATGCCAGGATGTAAAGGTAACATCGATAAAACAGGATAAAGGATATAATTATATAATTAGGGAGAGACGGTTTTTAGTGAATATGGTTTTCCTACCTTATTAGCTTGTCGGAATTTGAATGCTTCAAATTCAAACAATTTCCAATCTGAACGAAATTTTTTCAAGGAAATTTTTTATAGGAACTCGGACGCTGCCCTGGAAACCGAAAGTCTGACAAAACCAGTCACGTTACTGACCTGACAACGCAAGAGTTTCAGCACCTTTCCCCAGCAGCAGAAGGAAGTACCTGCAGACTAAATGTCTGTCGGGAAGGAAGAGGGGCAAGCTGGATTAGCACTGCTGAATTCTGAGGTCTTTTGTCCATGTGCTCGAAAACACAAAAAGTTATTGGCACCTCTCTAGAGCCTTAGTTAGGGAGCGTGTTAATTTGTTCAATGGTAACATTATCGAACATATTAGAAGAAACATTAAGATTAGTCGACAGAACAGAAGCATATTGGAACGTTGGCTGTCAACAAAAAATAATGCCCCCAAATGATATGAAACACCAGAAAGGATTACTGGTGTTAACATGGACATGAGAGTAACTTACCTTCCAAACAGTAATCTCCTTAAATTCCCCTTCCTCCTGCTTCTTCTAGGTGTTATGTCACCATTTTGATCAAGGTACAGTAAATACAATGTTTTTATTTCTTGTTTATTTATATATATTTGTATTCAAATATCATCATCGCGTGCTACTTTATTTACTTATTAAGAAAAATAAATGTTAAAATTGAAGTATATTGGGTCCTGGAACAGTTTAATTTAGTTTGGAATGATACTTCCCACTATCACTCAATTCAATTTCATGTAAATTGTCTTAGAAAGCTGCTCAAAATCAAATGGCAAGGTAAGATCCCAAATACTGTGGTTCTTGATATGGCAAACCTGCCTAGCATCCATACGATACTAGAGAATTATCAGCTGCGTTGGGATGATCCTCTCGCTCTCATGCCAGAATATCGCCTCCCAAAGAAAGTATTTTCTTTTTTGTTTGCGAGCTCCAGCAAGGGAAGAGGTTCTGTTGAGGATAGAAAAAGCGCTATAAGGACACTCTCAAGACTGCTCTCAATTTGTTTGGCATCACCACAGCAACACTGGAAGCTGCTGCACAGGACTGTTCTGGATAGCCTACATCCCACAGGCATGATGCATCAGCACGCCAGGCAGCGGAAGTTGCACAGGCAGAGAAACGGAGGCAGACTAGAAAGAACCGTATCGCTAATCCCACTCTTACTGCGGTTCCCAGCTGCTGTCTGCACTGCCCAAGAACTTTCCAGGCTTATATTGAACTAATCAGTCACATGGTACTCATTATCATTGATCATTACTACTTTGGATGAAAAGTGACCTTCATAACTCGTGATGGGCGAACAACAAAGGTTCTTTGCTGAGAATCCTTCGTGAGACAGCAGTCCTGGATGAAATCCTTGCTGTGAATGGAAGGCTAACCCGGGCATCAAATGCCTACAGAATTCAGTTGTAAATATCGCAGCATGCTGCAAACGGGCATAACACATTTATATCTTGGGTGAAGGCAGAACAGAAGAAGAAATCCGTGCAGATGTAGGTACACAAAGCGGCAGTGGTGTGATCAGCCCATGAAGTTTCTCATTTTTATGGAGAAGTTTCCGAGATGCACTTTACGAAGTCTAGTCGCCCACGACTATTCTGAAGTCAACTTTCTAATGTGTCCTTTCTGAGGCATTAGATCACTTTCTCTCCGAGACAAATGTTTGTTCTCATCCTTACGGACTCGGCTGACAGATAAACGAATGAATCTGTCCGTATTTGTTTGTTTTCTTTCGTCAGCGCCTGGATAATTACAGTTATTATATTTAGGGCTGGGTCACCTGACAGGAATCGATATCTTCTCGAGCAATACTTGTCCCGTCTGTGCCTTAATGAGGATGCCGAAGTCACTTGGTCCTGACCTAGATGTCGAGACAATCCTGGCGTGGAAGG